GCTGCCACCAAGGGAAAGAGCGCGTGCTAGGGTTCATTCGAAGCAATTGGCGCCGGGAAACAGCAATACAACCAACTCAAGTGTCCATATAACGGCGCCGTTTGGCAGAAGCGACCCAATCAACAGTCACTGGTGTTGACAGTTGCGTCACCCCTTTTCGGGGACAACCCTAGCCCCACCGCGCCCCTTACAGCCAGCCCCAATGGCGCCCAGCCCAGCAGAAATGCCCTTCATCACGGACCACGGCCCCTCTGATAAAAGCCCTCCCGCCACGTCCGGTTGGCAATCAAAGATCACGCAGCGCTTCCCCTTCCTCAAATCCAAGCGCGGCATCGCGATCCTCGTCGTCGTGATCCTCGTCATCATCGGCGGCGGCCTGGCTGGTCTCGCGGCGCTGCCCAACAGGGGGAGCGCAAAGGCCGCTGGGGGCCAGAATGGGAACGGTTCGAGTGGTGCGGCTATCACGGATGATGCCTACTTCTACGGGCAGTCGCCGCCGGTGTATCCCTCACGTAGGTGTTTCCATGATGGGTGTTGTGCGGGGGCGATGCTAATGGGGGGATGGGGCGACAGCAAATATGACGGGCGTGGGTGCATGGGCGGCGGCATTTGGCAAGGCGAAGACGCTGGTTGGGAAGATGACGCTGGCTGAGAAGGTAGGTTAGTGCTCTGTAGTCTTCGGGGATCGGGAGACTGACTGGTGCTGCAGGTGAGTTTGACTGGGGGAGTCACTTCCAACACCAGCTGTCCTGGCTTTCTTCCGGCCGTTTCGCGTCTCGGATTCCCCGGCATGTGTCTGGCTGATGCTGGCAACGGACTCCGCGGGACGGATTTTGTCAGTACCTGGCCCAGCGGGATCCATGTTGGCGCTGGCTGGAACAGGGCTCTCACTCGTGAGCGGGGATCCGGAATGGGGGGGGAGTTCAAAACCAAGGGGGTCAACGTGCTCCTTGGGCCTGTCGTTGGGCCGGCCGGCCGTGTTGTGTTGAACGGCAGGAACTGGGAAGGTAAAGTTGTGTCTTCGAGGCTCTGTAGGACGGCTTGCTGACGAAAACAGGATTCTCGAGTGATCCCTACCTCTCAGGGGCTTTGGTTCACGAAACGGTGTCGGCGGTGCAGGCAGCTGGGGTCATTACCAGCACCAAGGTACGCTCCTTTTCCATCAGATGTACTCGGGAAGCTGCTGACATCACTCTCCTAGCATTACATCGCAAATGAGCAAGAGACAAACCGGATGCCTTCCAGTGACACCGAGTCGGTGTCGTCAAATATCGACGACAAAACCATGCACGAGGTGTATTTATGGCAAGTTCACGACACGCTAACTCCTTCATCCATTTTCTCTAATATGGTTTTAGGCCGTTCCAAGATGCGGTCCACGCCGGTAGCGGCAACATCATGTGCTCGTACAACCGAGTTAACAACTCGTATGGCTGCGCAAACAGCAAGGCACTCAACGGCGTTCTGAAGACCGAGCTTGGTTTCCAGGGCTGGGTTGTCAGCGACTGGGGCGCCCAGCATGCCGGAGGTGCCGCAGCTCTGGCAGGCATGGATGTGGCCATGCCATCTGGCGACGCTCTTTGGGCATCTCACCTTGTGGAAGCGGTCACCAACGGTTCAGTCCCCGAGGCTCGTGTAGACGACATGGTTATCAGGTGATTGCTTAACACCCTTCACTCTTCAAAGCTAACAACGGCCCAGAACCATTGCCTCATGGTACCAAATGGGGCAGGACCAGGACTTTCCCAAACCGGGTGCTGGCATGGCGAGCAACCTGATGGAACCCCATCAAATTGTCGACGCAAGAAATACGTCTTTCCGGTCAACCTTGCTTGATGGCGCTGTTGAGGGTCATGTTCTTGCGAAGAACATTCGCAACGCCCTACCCTTGGAGCGACCTAAGATGGTTTCTATATTCGGCTACTCAGCAAAGAACCCCGACCGTAATAACCCAAGTAACGGTCTTTCGCCGTGGCTCTTTGGCGCCGAATCTTTCAACTGGGCCGAGTTTGCAGCGGGATTCCTCGGATGGGCCGGCCCGACCGGCAAGACAGCTATTGCCTTCAATGGCACCATCTATTCAGGGGGGGGTTCCGGCGCCACCTCGCAATCCTTACTGTCGTCACCGTTTGACGCGCTTGCTCAGCAAGCCTATGATGATGGGACTGCACTCTTCTGGGACTTCACGAGCGGCGAGCCGGCGGTCAACCCCATGTCAGACGCCTGCCTTGTCTTTGGCAATGCCTACGCAACCGAGGGCGCCGACCGGCCCAGCATCCGAGATGACTACACTGACGGCCTGATCAAGCATGTGGCCGAACGATGCAACAACACCGTCGTCATTTTCCACAACGCCGGCATCCGGCTAGTCGACCAGTTTGTCGACAACCCCAACGTGACGGGCCTCATCTTCGCCCATCTCCCCGGCGAAGCGTCGGGACGCGCCCTCGTCTCCCTGCTCTACGGGGCCTCCAACCCCTCCGGCAAGCTCCCTTACACGGTAGCCCGCAACGAGTCGGACTATGCTGTGCTGGGCCCGGACAGGCCCCGGGGCATGTTTGAGAGGTTCCCGCAGAGCAACTTCACCGAGGGCGTGTTTGTCGACTACCGCCACTTTGACGCGCACAATATCACGCCGCGTTATCCGTTCGGGTTCGGCCTCAGCTACACCACGTTCAACTACAGCAGGTTGTCCGTCCAAAAGGCCGCCGACGCCGACTTTGCAGAGTACCCGACTGGGCAGGTCGTCGAGGGCGGACAGAAGGATCTGTGGGATGTCCTGGTCGATGTGTCTGCTGACGTGACGAATACGGGTGCGGTGGATGGCGCTGAGGTGGCGCAGTTGTATGTGGGGATTCCGGCCGAGGGCGCACCGGTGAGGCAGCTGAGGGGGTTTGAGAAGCCGTTTTTGAATGCGTCGACGACGGAGACGGTGCGGTTTGGGCTTACGAGGAGGGATCTGAGTGTCTGGGATGTGGTGGCGCAGAAGTGGCAGTTGGTGAGGGGTGAGTATACTGTTGAGGTGGGCGGGAGCAGTAGAGACTTGCCGCTTGTTGGGAAATTCAGGATCTGATGGTGGAACATGTACGGCCTGGGACTCCGGGGTGTTTTGTGTTTTCATTGTTTGTTTTTACAAGTTCCGGGCGGATGGCCTGGAGGCGCCAGGGAGGCGCCGGCCTGGGCATGATTTGATGGAAATGCAGATGATGGTGATGAAGAGATGGATGGACTGGTGTACAACAGGAGCCCCGATCTCGGCGTCAAAGATGCCCCCTCTACCTGCACATATCGAGAACGAGGTTACCCCGCAATCGCACCCGCACGTGGCAATGGAGGTTAGCACTTAGCAGCAGTAACGAACGGCCCGGTTTACCAGGCCGAGCCAGGGGCCGGGACACTCACCAAACCCAACGAAACTCCACATCTCTACATATCATTCGCGCTACCACGAACTGTGATTCTTCAAGAAGCTTCAGCGCCGATGGAAACAGAGCCGCTATCAATCCTAGCCGGCCGTGGGCAGAATGCGAAGCGCACGGCTTCGGACGAACCGAATGCCGCGTCCAATACCAAACGAATTAAAACCGTGTGTGATGGCTTGACAGGACCACATGCGCAACGGCGGGTTCCCTTTCCAGAGAAGGTGCCTATGCCCCTGTCGCACCGGTATGTGTCGTACAGAAACGGACCGCTCTAACTGTTCTAAAGCCGGCAGTTATAGAGGAGCGAAATGGCGAGATCGAACTCCGGGTTGTCAACAATGACGGCACCCGCGAGAGCGGGATCATCCTCACAGGTCTCAAATGCCTATTTCAGAAGCAACTCCCGAACATGCCCAAGGATTATATCGCTCGTCTCGTCTACGACCGCACGCATCTATCCATCGCCATTGTCAAGATGCCTTTAGAGGTCATCGCGGGGATATCGTTCCGAGAATTCCGAGCCCGCAAGTTCGCCGAAATCGTCTTTTGCGCTGTCTCATCCGACCAGCAGGTGAAGGGATACGGAGCGCATCTCATGGCCCATCTGAAGGATTATGTCCGAGCTACTAGCACCTCCCCAGTGATGCATTTTCTCACGTACGCTGACAACTACGCTACGGGATATTTCCAAAAACAAGGCTTCACCAAAGAGGTCACCCTCGACAGAGCCACGTGGATGGGGTATATCAAGGATTACGAAGGAGGGACGCTCATGCAATGCTCCATGCTTCCGCGGATCCGTCATCTCGAAGTTGGCCGCATGCTTCGTAAACAGAAGGAAACCGTACAAGCCAAGATCCGCCCGCTGAGCAAAAGCCACGTCATCCATCAACCACCTCGACAATGGGCCAACGGCGCTGTCACGCCAATCGATCCACTCTCGATCCCTGCCATTCGGGCAACTGGCTGGTCGCCGCACATGGACGAATTGGCACGGGAACCACGCCGCGGACCCTACTTGCACGAACTCCGGCGTTTTCTGTATCAAATCCAAAACCACAAACAGGCGTGGCCCTTCCTCCACCCGGTCGACAGAGACGAGGTCCCGGACTATTATAATATCATTGCTGCGCCAATGGATCTGTCGACAGTCGAAGCGAGATTGGAGCGCAATTTCTATCCTGCGCCCAAAGACCTTGTCGGCGATCTCAAGTTGATTTTTAGCAACTGTCGGCAGTATAATGACGCGACAACCGTCTACACCAAATGCGCCGTCCGGCTGGAGAAGTATATGTGGGGTCTCATCAAGGAGATCCCCGAGTGGTTTGACCTGCTCGAGGACTGATTGCTGTCGGCGCATCCCCCTTCTTCTAGTTTGGTCTGTGTTGCAAGATACAGCAGGCGAGTGGTATCGTTAGTGTTAGTATCGGTCCATTGTTTCGATACGTTCTGCAGAGCAAAGATAGGTAATCGGCAGGCACTTCCACACCCTGACCCGGCCCCAAGTTCTTTCACGTCTTCTCCACATTGGCCATCCACTCATCATCCCCGTACCCGAGCATGAACTGCATCAAATGAGCGGGTTTAGCTCAGTTGGGAGAGCGTCAGACTGAAGTCAACTTCAGGACTACTTAATCTGAAGGTCATGTGTTCGATCCACATAAACCGCACACTTTGCTTTTGCACTTCACGGCAGTTCACTTTTGCCCCTGACTTGGTTGAGGTTGTCTGATGAAAGACAGTATACTGAGCAGGCAAGCTGTTTAGCAGCAGCGATAACTAATATAGCCTGCTGTATCTTTTGACTCTAATCCGTTGCTAGGCCGTGCCCTAGTGGTTTCCAGAAGCCCACTAAAAAACAACTCCAACATGTCCATTTTACACCCGGGGAAAGGGAAAAAAGAACCGATCATGCTGGGACTCGAACCCAGAACCTTTACCAGCTGGAGAACACAGGATGCTGTGCTTGGAACCGGAAAGTAACGCGCTACCATTGCGCCACACAACCAAGGTTTTGATTTGTTGAAGTTCGGAGCCGTTTGACGTGGAGAAGAGGTTGTGGATGTTGAGTTTGGGAGATGGCGGGGCAGCGGGGCTGTGAGGATAAATGGGAGGGGCAGAAGAGGGGTTGACTCCCCACCTTTCAAGCCGAGCCCTTATCTTCTTCTCCACATCTGTATCCGTACAGCCCACGGGCCACTTCTGAGAAAACTTTGCGATTGACATCAGAGACAAAGTACATAGGGGCCGGGTCTCTGGCCATCTCCCACAAGCAACCCCCTATCGGAAGCCACACTCTCATCGGGTATGGTGTAGCGGTAACATCGTTGACTCTCACTTCCCAGAAGTGACTGTTCTCTCAACAGCCCCGGGTTCGACTCCCGGTATCCGAGATTAACATGTACATGTCCAAGGGTGGCCATCCTTTTTGCCCTGCATGTCACACACACAAGATGTGTGCAGACTACCTTCCGAACCGTGGTGTTTGTGTTTGTGTGTGTCGCTGGCTATTTTAGTGCTGCCGAGAGAGACGGTTGGACAAGCAAAGTACGTGTTGCAGGTAGGTTAACTGAACTGGTGCACGGCTGTGTGCCATCAGGGGAAATGCTAAGGCCAGGAGTGCTTGATGTTGAACAATTCTCAATTGCCACTGGCACTGGCACTGGCACTGGCACTGTTGCATTCACCAGCCTAGTGCATCAAAGCGGTTTTGTGTCCAGCAACCCAGATCCTCGCTGCCTTGTAGGTAATGTACCTCGCTCGCGCATTGCCCTTGCGCGCATAGCAGCCAAGCCCGCCCCTCACACGCAATCAGTCCCATGGGGCGTATGGTCTAGTGGTATGATTTCTGTTTTGCAAAGCCTCGAGCACCGCAGATACAGACGGTCCCGCGTTCGATCCGCGGTACGTCCATCCCTAGGGACTATCCTTTTTTTCACCCTTGCTGCCCTTCCTCTTTTGGCATTTTTAACTGTTGTGTTTAACTGTTGTGTTTAAGTGTAGTGATGATGTTGGTGGCCGGTGAGCTTGGGCCCTGAATAATACGACATGTTTCCGAGAGATGCTAAGAGATCGAACTAAGCTAGGGGTAAACTGGAACGCCTCCTTTTGTTTCCAAGTTACCTGGATAATCGAATAATGACTATTGAGTTCATTTCATTGTACGCACTCAGTCCTGCCGAGACACATATGCTGCAAGCTCGAAGACAAGTTGTCAGAGAAGAAGAGCACCACTGCACAGCCGGAGGAGACAATCAAGCAATGAAACGAGCCAACAAAAAATCCATCTCAAAATAATTGTTGCCCAAACACTCAGGAAAAGCAAGTCCTGAGTTCACCGAAACAGCAGGGTTGCGCCGACAGATCGGCTGAAACAAGAATCCCACTTGCACCATAGACCCAGGATCCGATACAACTTCCAACAAATTGGATAGCCTGCCCGGCTAGCTCAATCGGTAGAGCGTGAGACTCTTACGGGTTTCCGACATCTCAAGGTTGTGGGTTCGACCCCCACGTCGGGCTCAATTCCCGATCTTCGATCATCTTTTTGGATTTCTGTTCTTTTTCATTCTCTTCCTCTGCGATATCTCTTCCTCTGCAATATCTCTCCTCTTCATATCCCTCGTTTCGTTTTAATGCGTCCATAGGATAGGCGTTTGCATAACAGTCTGTCAACAGCCAATATCCCAATGAATCGGTGACCATCGACAGGGCCCTCCCCATGTACACCGTCACCTGTGGCACGATATCAAGACAGCATTCGCTACATTCCCAGGCCCCCCACACGCCCGTCTATCCGTTTAGATGCAAACCGACAAACAAACAGACATCCGCCCAAACATGTATCTGCCCACAGTACGATGGGCCGGTCTGTCTAGAAGCAAGCCCAAATGCCCCCAGTCTGCCGCCGTCTCTCCGTCCACCATTCAGTGCCACGCAGATCTCCCCCCTTAGCATGCATGCCCCACAGCCAAACACCACCGAGCCTTTACCGGTTGTCAGGGTCCGTCGCCATGTTGTGCAAGCTAACACGCCATGTCAGTCAACAAGCCTAGTCGTCTCACGACAGAGAGGGGCGGAAGAGGAGAAAACAGAACAAACCTGATATCCTGCCTATTCTCCGGGCTCATGGGCCCCTCATTCTCATTCCCACCACCATGCTCCGCATCCCCATTCTCCGCTGCCGCTGCCGCCGCCGCCGCCCCCTCGTGGCCCGCCCGCAGCTCGAGCCCCGCACCGCCATCCACAAGGATCGCGGCGCGCTTGGCCACATTCACAGGCCCGTCGGACCCCACCGCCGTCTGGGCGCCATCAGCCCCGGCGGCGCCCTTGCGCTTCTTGCCGCGCAGCTCGTTGAGGTGGGCAAAGTAGCCCTCGGGCACGGGGGTCTTGTACGTGCCGCAGAAGACGCCGACCTCAAAGTCCTTGACCTGGCCGCCGCGCGAGACCTCCATGCAGGCGGCCTTGAGGTCGTCCAGGTCCTGGTAGATGACGTCGTCGGCGTTGATGTGCTTGGCGATGGCCTGGCGCGTCTTCTCGTGCGCGATCAGCTCCTGCGGGCTGGCGAGGTCGATGCCGTACTGTGGGGTGGTTAATGGGTGTGTGTAGAAGAGAAAGGGCAGGCCGGAAAAGGGACGGGGGGGAGAGGAAACTCACGATATGCGGGTGCTTGATGGGGGGCGCACAGCTGGCAAAGATGACCTTGCGCGCGCCGGCCTCCCGCGCCATGCTCACGATCTCCCGGCTCGTGGTGCCGCGGACGATGGAGTCGTCGACCAGGCAGACCACGCGGCCGGCGAACTCGGACTCGAGAGGACTCAGCTTTCTCCGGACGCTCTTCTGGCGCGCCTTCTGGCCGGGCAGGATGAAGGTGCGGTACACGTAGCGGTTCTTGATGAAGCCGTTGGAGAAGGGCTTGCCGAGGCGTTCCGACACGACGGCCGCGGCCGTGTTGCTGGTCTCGGGGATCGGGATGATGACATCGATCTCCTTGATGCCGTCCTCGCCAAGCACTTCCCTGAGCTTGTCGGCCAGCTTGGCGCCCATGTTCTGCCGGCTGCTGTTGACCGAGATGCCGTCCATGATTGTGTCGGGCCGGGCAAAGTACACGTACTCGAAAATGTCGGGCGAGTAGCCCTGTGCCTTGGCGACCTGGCGGAGCTCGGGCTTGCCGCCCTTCTGGATGAAGACCGCCTGGCCGGGCATGATGTCCTGGAAGTTCCTGAAGCCCAGCTGGCGGAGGGCGATGCTCTCCGACGACAGCATGTAGTCGATGCCGCCCTCGATGGTGGCCGACGGCCGGCTTCCCATGACGAGCGGGCGGATGCCGAACGAGTCACGGAAGGCCAGGATGCCAAACCCGGCAATCATGGCCGTGGCGGCCCACGCACCCTGGCATCTCTCGTATGTCTGGGCCACGGCGCTGAAGATGTCGTCCGTGTTGACGCGGGCCTTGCCCGTGTCGTTGAGGGCATTGGCAAAGACGTTGAGCATCAGCTCGCTGTCCGAGTCCGTGTTCACGTGGCGATGGGCTTCCTTGTCGAGATAGGTGCGCAGGGCGGGGGCGTTGATCAGGTTGCCGTTGTGGGCAAAGCAGATGCCGTAGGGCGAGTTGACGTAGAACGGCTGGCTCTCGGCGCTCTTGGGAAAAGAAACGTAACGTCGTCAGCTTGGTCTGACCATCGATCAGATGGACACAAGGCAAAACACATACCGAGCTCGTGCCGGCAGTCGGATACCGCAGGTGGGCGATGCCCATGCAGCCCGGGAGGTCGGCAACGCGCCGCCCGTCCTCGAACACCTTGGCGGCCATGCCATTGCCCTTGCACTGGTATATCCTGCCGCCCACGGCGCATGTGGCGATGCCGCAGGCGTCCTGGCCGCGGTGCTGGAGGTAGTACATGCTCTCGTGCAGGTCGGCCGCCGCTTCGGTGCTCGACAAGTCGGCAAGGAGCAGACCGAGAATGCCGCACATGTTGCCGGTTTCACGCGTGTGATGGTGTCAATTGGACGGCGCGGGGTGGTGGATGGGGTTTGGAGGGAGCGACTCTGAAGAGGCAGAGTAATGCCTCAATCGGCGACTTGGAATTCGAAGGCCGGCGGTTCGATAAACTGTGGTGGAGGCGATTCGGGGTGGAGTGGCCGAAGTCGGGACGCGGCAAGTTCACAGGACAAGGGCTGAAGTTGTTCGTGGCAGTTTTGGCGACGGAAGGCACACAGACAAACATTCACCGCCGAGGGAGAAGGGCCAAGGGCAGAAGACGGGGGCAAGACCACCTGAACGTATATCTTCCATTTTTAGAGTGATTTTGGTGCTCGGACAACGGGTAGCGGCGATCTTAAGGTTTTCTCTATGCCCGTCCATGGCGGGGAAAATTTTCTGGAGGGGTATCCGTCTGCGCGGGGCAATCAGCGCTGCTTGACTTGGCGCGTCTTATCCATTGGCTGCCACTCCCGCGGTTGGACCCCAGCCTGCAGTGGATGCCTTCTGTAATACTGTCGAGGATTTGCACACTAGCCCTGACGTAGGGGTTTCACAAGTGGTTAATCGGGACTGTACCTACATGTACATCCAGTTCCGCAGTCTTGAAATACCTTCAGCTACAGAACAGAGTGGAAACTCACAACACACACAAACATTAGACACCAACAAACACACGTGTAAGTCCCGGTTCAGCTAGTAAAGCTAATTGATCTAGGTGACGTGACTATACCACCCAACTCTCTCCAGCGCAGCCCACAATGTGATATTGTACATCGACCCAGTCCATGCGCGGCAACGATGCCGCCCCGGATCAGAAACACTGCCCCAGCAACCCGCTGGCTAGCAAGGAGCATCTGCCCCACCCCAACTTCTCACCAGACGCCCGAGACTAGGTAACACACACAGTCTCCCCTTCACTCCCCCCAACCACCCCCCTCCCACCACTCCGCCTCCGAACCATCCTATAGGGATCACCCCCTCACTCCCATCATGCATGCAGTCGAGTCCCAAAGACCACAATCTAAGAGTTCCGTAAACAGCAAACTCCCCATCCGCCCTCCCATCCCCATTGTCGATGCCATAAAGGGAACAGAGAACAAGGACTCCCCAAAGGGGAAACTCAGACCAGTTCCGCAAGAGCCTTGGCCCGGTTCTCCTCCAGCGCCCTGACAAAGGTCTCGTAGGGGGTTAGCGTGCCCAGGGCCCGGCGCATGTGGGCATTCACGATCTGCAGTCCATAAATGTAGCTTGCGTTGACCCAGCCGAATCTGCGACAACAACTCGGTTAGCTTCTCTCGCACCCTTTTTCGTCCCAGCGCAGAGCGAGGCAAGTGACTCACCCCTCCTTCGCAACACCCTTGAAGTCCAGGCCCTGGTTGCCGTACTCGGCGTCGACCCGGTGCGGGTCAATCGGGCGCGTGACGTCGTACTTTTCCACCACGACCCCGTTGAAGTCGACAAAGGCCTTGGTGATCATGAACAGCCACTTGTAGGCCAGCCGCTCCGCCTCGTCGGTGAAGCTGTACCGAAACAGCCCCGTCCAGGCCAGCATCTGCTGCGGCGCCCAGCCATAGGGATAGTCCCACTGGCGGTTGGGCCGCTCAATGCCGATCTCGCCGCGGCTCTCCTTGGTGCCGGACAGCAGCCCACCAAAGGCCTCGAAGCGCGGCAGCGCCTTGGTGACCATGGCGGCCGCCTGCTTGGGGCTGCTGACGCCTGCCCAGAGAGCCCAGAAGGTGGTGGCGCTCTCGTAGGTGCACCGCTCGCGCTTGGCCGTGTCGTAGTCGAAGTACATGCCCTCCTGCTCGTTCCAGAGGTACTTGTCAATGGCCAGCTTGCGGCGCTTAGCCCGCCGGTCCCAGACCGCCGATGACTCGATGTGGCCTGGCTTCATGTCGCCGACGCAGTATTCGGCCGGCACTTCCAGCTT